ACAGCAGCAGCTTCCCCCCTCCCCAACAGGGACCTACAGACTTTGGAGCCCAAAAAGGGGACTGAGCTGATAAGCACCTTGACCTTTGAAGTCAAGAGAAAAAAACTCTGCTGAGAAGCAGCCTGCCTTTCCTCTGACCTCCAAAGATAAGATAAGCAGATTCTGCCTGATAACCAGAGATTTTAGAAGTTGTTTATCACAACAGCTTTTCTCTTGTCTTAAGAGGGAAAAAGTAAACACTTCCAGACCCTAATCCTACCTGCTTTTCCTGCTTCCCCCTCCCTGATTTCTCCCCCAAACATTCCCCCCTTCCCCACCCCAAAGGCCCCATATGTAAAGTCCCAGCTCACAACCCCTGAGCTGACATCTTTCCCTTCCCGAGGGAAAGGTGCCCCATGCGCTTTCCCTTCCCTGACATCTTTCCCTTCCCCGAGGGAAATGTGTCCCGTGCGAAATAAAGCTGTATCCCGCTGTGAATTTTATCTGCGCACTCGCTCTCCATCCCAATTTTTAACCTATCAGAAAAGACAATGTAGTCCTTCAAAAAATGTGTGAAGCAAATCCTCAAGTGAGTCATGAAGATGACCAATAAGCAATAAAGGAAGTTCTCCTTAATAACCACACAAATGTAAACATGCAAGTTAAGGCAAAATGATGCAACATTCAGTCAGAAAATTGTCAAAATGTTAAAAAAAAATCAAACAATATCAAGCACAAATGAGCACACAAGAGCAAAGCTATCTCAGCCACTACCTTGTGGAAGATAAATAACTGCAGTCCTTTTGAGCAGACATCTGCCAATTTTCTTTTAGTGGCTCATACAGGAAATATTTTAGATTTTGAGGCCATAAGGCCACACTGAGAGAATTATGTAAGTTCTTACTGACATAACCATTTAAAGATGTAGAGACCATGTGTAACTCATAGCCTGTACTAATCTTGATGGTGAACCAGATTTGGTACTTGGATTGAGAGAACTTTGATGGACAGCTACTACGGTAATATCCAAATCTGGATATAGATCCTAAAGAAAGTATCACATGACTCTAACAGTGTAGAAGCCTATTGCAGCACTCACGCCTAAGACTTTGGAAAACAGTCTAAATCCCCATCTGTAGAAGACAGAAAAGAGGGTGGACTAGTATATGACTGTATATCCTAATGACCTCAGTATTAGCTTCAAATGTGTTAAGTTAAAAAGACCTAAAAAATAAAATTAGATAAAAGCTTAACTGCAGAATATATATTGAGTGTGATATCATGTGTTCTTAAGATCATTTCTATTAATGACTTGTCAGGAGAAGGACATGTGACCACACAGAGCTTACTCTCAGTATCGTGTATAACACCCGGGGATGGCTGCCAATGCACGTGGAACAGGGCCTCAGAAACTAAATTGCTTAATATTAATCTTCAAAATTTATAAAATAAAGTATATTTAGACCATGAGCTTAAATATTAAAACTGTAGATACATATGTGTGGTCAATCTCTGCATTTCATTAGTTTGAACAGACATTTATCTTTACATTGTAACAGCTCTGAAATAGGAATGAGCCTTGTTATCTGTGTGTACACTTTAGTTATTATTTTCCTTAGTGTTATACAAAATGCATTTTTCTACTATTGATAATGGGTTGGATCTGGATGATAGAGTCATACTAAATTCTTCATAGCTGCTGTTTTGGAGAAAAAGTGTAAAGAAGGGAGAGAAAGGAAAAAAAAGAATTGGATTAGGAAGGACATACATGGTATGTCAAGCTTATCAACAGTACTTTACTGCTATAAATTAAAACACTAACATTATACCATTTTAACATTTATTAAGATACAGTTTGAAATGTGCACAGTGTCTTATTTAAACTTAAAGGAACTAACTTTTTGTGGTAACTAAAATTATACTTTTACAATGTGGTTAAAGCATCTTCAAGAATGCAAGGATAGTTTACATAAAATGTGATAACTTTGGAAGCTATGTTAGCCATTATTATTCTTACTTTCAGATATAACACAGCAGAGCAACCACAGAAGTTGACTGATGCATCCAAAATCACATGTCTAGTCATTAGTAAAGCTAAAACCAGAATCTAGATCTTTGGGTTCCAGTTTCACGTTCCTGTCTACCCTGTATTTACTATACTTCTTTTTGTTGGCACATACTTGAGTACTTTATAGCCTTGCACAATTGTCAATAAACTAAAAAATAATGTCAATGCTTAGTTTTTGACTTAGAAAATTAAAAACTACAATGAAAACATGATAAATGTTTCTGGCACATAAATAAGTAGAACAAAGGGGGTGTAATTAAATATGGATTTCCAAATCCCAAGCATCTTTGGGTATTCCTAAGTGTGCTGCAGTCAATGCCATATTTGGTACCCAGGAAGCATATTTAGGTTGTCTGAGAAGGCTACGCACCCAATATTTTCTTTAATTATTGAGTTATCTTTGTAGAATTTCAGTTGAAAAAAAAAATCCTTTACTCAGTCATCTACTAGGACAGTTACTTTTTTACTAGCTTTATACTTCTTTATTCTGACTTAATCAAATCAGGTGGGTGTTTATAATCTGCAATGAGGAGAGCAAACAGTAATAGTATCTTAATAGGAAAATAATTTTATATCAGAAAACAAGTAGATCAATGATTCTCATGCATTGATGATGCTATTGAATGTATCCTGCATTTAACTCATGGGCAATAGTTTTTAAGCAATCTTGTCTTAGAGTGACATAAGACATAGCAGGTGCTTAATAAACATTAGTAAAGCACATGCGTGAATGAAAAAACTGAATAATGGATAAAAAAACTGGTGACATAGATGTAAATATTCTGGAAGGAAGGATACAAAGGCTCTAGAGGTAAGGTCCTGTATACACTTCCCAGACACATGTCAGCTCTTGAAGTCAGGCTTCCACTCCTACTATGCAAAGCCTACTTCGAAGTGCTTCTAGCTGTGAACCATATTATTATGTAACTAAATATCTGTACGAAGGTTTTGATGGACCTGTGTTAAATTTCGAAATCTTTTGCTTACAGTAGAAGCCACTTCTAAGTTATCACATCTCACTTGTCAAGTACTAATTCAACTCATAATAATTTAGAATCCAAAGGACCTTCGAGCAGATAAGTGGTTTGTGTTATTTGAGTGAGTCTTTCATAGAGGTTAAGCTGATGTTGACATGCTCAGCAGCACCTTCACACTTTAATATCTGGGGGGGTAACAAGCAGGTGTTTTAAGACTTCAGGTTTTAAGACTAGACAGAGGAGTGACCATTGTGACTGCCATTTATGCTTGAAGTGACATTGGGCATCTTAGTAAACTTCTATGAGCCTCAATTTCATCATCTGCTATGTGAGAATATTTTCTTACCAGATTGTCCCAAAGATCAAGAATAAAATTGTAAAACATTTTGCCACTTGATAAGTAATAGCGGTTGTATTCATTTCATTTGTTCTTAACAAAGGATTACACCTAGGTCCCTAATTTAGGGCTGTTAAAGCATTACACTATAAGATTAAATAGGAACAAATATATGATATGGATCTGAAGAGTAGGTAATAGGAAGACCTGAGAATTACTTCCTTAGTATATAGAGGCTGTATTTTATAGTTCCTTTTCCTTCTTTTTAATAGAAAATGAAAAAAAAATTGACTGAAGGGAAAAATCTGTATGTATAACAGAAACAAATTTTTCCTGGGTTTTATTTTGGCATTTGGTTTTCTGTGCTTTTACAATACTCTCAGGTACATGTTTTATATTCTTTCTTGTGCTTCACTGAATCACACACAGCACAGAAATGCTGCTGATTTCTAATTAACCAACTGTACCATGAGGTCTCCAGCTACTGTCCCCAGTTTAATTGCAGCTGTGAATAGGATGTGATGAAATTGAAGAGAGCATCTCTACATGACAAAAAATACAGTAATAATGCAGTTTAAGATTGATCTGTAGATTTCCTACGTGTGAATGTGTAGGGTAGCAAAATTGGTATGTGACTCTGAGGTTTCCATTTTGCTTTGATTCGTATTCCCTCACGCAAACACTTGTACCTGACAGAAACAACTTCTCAGTTAACAAACCTGAAAGCTAGTCTTTAAGTAGTTCTTTGATTTATAGGATTTAGAACAGTCTTATCCAATGGGACGATTCTGTGTTTATTCATTGGCTTTGGCTTTGAGATTGACAGCAGCTTAGATGTCTGTCTATGCTAATCCCACTGTGAATTTCAAGATACAATTCAAAAGAAAGGATAAACTCACCAAAGTGGCAAAGAGATGATAGAGAATGAAATAGATGGCGACCACAGGTGCCCACATATGTCCCACAGCATTGAGCGTCTGATCCATCACATCCACCCATCCTTCCTGGGTGAGGATCTGGAACATGGACATGAATGCCTATAGAGGAAGAGTAGAGGGTCACCCAACAACATCACATCAGAATGCACTTAAAATCACCCAGTGATGCTCAGCTGAGGACTTTGACATTAGCATTATTGATTCGTTTCTGATCAGTCAGGGGGAAATAGTCCAAGCAACATGGGAAAGAGCTGAGATCTTAAAACTTTTATATCAAACATTTCAACTTAGAAAACTAATTACCCTAAATTAAAGATCATCCTTTCAGGGGTGAATATTTATAGTAACTTAGAAAAAAATTCTCTATCTTTGCTCATTCAGATTTTATTTTTACCCTTTTCAGCAAGTTATTTTAAAATTCACAAAAGATTATTTATTTAGTTGTACTCCTGTTGCTAAGAAATTTTTACAGTGCATTATATTTGTCTAAAGCATATAAAAGAATAATAACCTTAATTTTGTTTTTATGCTATCCATCTATCAAATGCTTTCAGTTATCATATTAAAAACATGTGACTCCTGGAGAAAAAGAAATATTTCTGAGTGCTATTGCCATGCTGAAAGACTTAACAAAGATACATTTTCCACAATATTTAAAAAAATTTAAGGCACAGAATCAAGACCACAGAAGTCCAGACTAAAATAGGAAGATATTCAAACAAAAGCCAACCAGGCTAAAAGATTCATATTTTTCCTGAAAATCTCTTTGGCTGTTCAATTTGGTAAATGTATTTATAATTAAATATATGAGTATCTATCATGCATATATTGGTGGTCAGCAAATACTTCTTTTTAAAAATATTTTATTTATTATTTTTATTTTATGTGTATGCGTGTATTG